GGTAGCAAGTAGTTCCTCTTCCATCTCCTCCTTTCCTCTTCTTTCAATCAGACAGAGAAATAGGAGGAATGAGTTTAGCCCACTGGAGTGAGTTTAAGGGCTGGACCAGAAAAGACAAGTTAGCCCAGTTAAACTAATTTGGGTGACTTCTGTTTCCTGACTAGACTCTGACTGATAAATTAGTATCAAGAATGGGATCCCAAGAAATATGATTTTTGTATTGGTTTGGTTGGGTCTGTAGGCTTAAACAGTGCCAGGCTCCTTCCCAATGGGAATCAGGACGCTAGTGATCCGTGATGCAGGAAGTAATACCACAATTAATCATCATAACCATGGTAGCTGATGGTAAAGAAGTATCTATAGAAAAAACGCCATGGGAGACCACGTGGCGGCTCCATTCCAGTCCGACAGACTGTGGTGTGGTTGGGCTTCTTCTGTATGCACTGCGGCACTCACAGAATGAAAACGATAAGCTGCAGCCGTTCAGCTTTCACTTCACATTTACCGCGGACCAGAGAACTACGGTAGCCCTAATGAAAAATTTTATGTCTTGTGGCCATAGAACTCACCTTGCTAACATCAAATTTAAATGTTCCAGTTACAGAATTACAGTGGAAGTTGAATTCCACAGACTTACGACGTCTCACGTGTGAAAGTAAAAGCAGTGAATGAGAAAAAGTAAGACCCCAAGATTTGGGATGGGTGAAGTCTACTGAAACAGACTCTTCAATCCCCCAAGCTACTCTCAGCCTCCCTTGCAGAGGAAATAGAAATAGCCTGTTCTATCTGCGTCTGAGGAGATTAATGTTCCCTGCTTGAAGATCTTTACAGACTAACCATAGGCTAATTCCTTTGCAACAGAATTCCTCATCTCTTCAAGATACAAGGCAGCTGGCATGTATTCCCACAATTGTATTCTCAGCGACTCAGGAGGCTGAGGCAAGAGGACTCCCAGTAGCCCAAGAGAGTTCAAGACCAGTCCAAGCAATATAACAAGACTCTGTTCTCAAACAAATAAAAAATACCCAACTTAACATCCTTTACTGCGGCTCAGCACCCATAGCACAGTGGTTACGGCGCTGGCCACATACACTGAGGCTGGCGGGTTTGGGCCAACTAAATCCAGCCCGGGCCAGCTAAACAACAATGACAACTGCAACAACAACAACAAAATAGCCAGGCATTGTGGTGGGTGCCTGGAGTCCCAGCTACTTGGGAGGCTGAAGCAAGACAATCACTTAAGCTCAGGAGTTTGAGGTTGCTATGAGCTATGGCACCATGTTACTCTACCAAGGGCAATATAGTGAGACTCTGTCTCAAAAAAAACAAAAAACAAAAACAAAAAACATCCTTTACTGCCATCTGTAACAGGATTAGATTGCAGCTTTCTCTGGAAAACAAGTACAAAGTCTGATCTATAAACCAATCACTTATATACAAAAATTATCCAAAATGTGCTAATGTGTGTTGGTAGAAATCTGAGAAATATATAGGGATTCTAAGAGTATCAGGCCAAGGTAAACAGTATATCCCAGATTAAGCTAATTTTTTTTTTTTTGGATGATTCATTTACCAAAGATTTAGGATTGAAAGCTGAGTAAAACCTGGATTCCATGAGCCTACACATAGTGAGACTGGGAGGCCACGGCTTGCCTGGCGTAACATAGAAGCAAGATCCAAAGGCTTAAGAATAGAACTGTTGGAGTAGATTTATCAAGTGCAACTTACACATATACAATCCCTCCACCATTACACTCTCAAGAGAGCCCAGAGGATATGTCCTTCACTAAGGCTCTACTTCACGACTAGAGGGCCATTATGGGTAAGAGCCCACTATTCTGGCCCCCTATCACCGTGCCAATCACAAGATATGAACCTCTATAACTATCTCTCTATTCCTTTGTGGCACTCAGTACAGATCGCAATTATTTATTTGTCTGGTGTTTTCTGGTTTTTTTTTTTTTCCTTACCCATTGGTTTTCACTGTTCCTTCCACTAGAATATAATTTCCATGAGGGCAAGGACTGCATCCACCTTGCTCACCATATTCCCTTCACATCCTCACGTGGGAATTCAAAAAAGATGCACTAAGCACATAACCAAAGAAATGCAGATTTAGTCTGACTTTGTCAACCATTAAATCCTGGTCCTTCCTTCTCTTGGAATAGACAACATTATCCTCCCCAAAGAAATGATTTACATCTCAGTTTAAAAACGTATCCTAACTTATAAATCTATTCAGCATCTTTTCTTCAGCTTAGAGCAGACAACATAGTCTGCTTGCATTACCTCTTCTACTGAATGTACATTATGCTCAGAAAAACATTTTTCACAATTTCCAACAACAAAAAAAAAATTCCTTTTAATAAAGGTCTTCAGCATCTTCACCATCTGTCCCTTCATAAAAATGTTTGAACAAGATCCTGTCTTTCTCCAGATCCGCATTTCTGCCAACCGGCACATGTTATATCAGATCACAAGTTAACCAAATTCTGGGATATCATCAAAATGCTTCTTCTGACTCACTGAACAATTTTTGTACAGACTACAATCCTTGCTGAAAGTGTTATAAGATAGCTTCTTTGGTTTCTCTATCAAGTAGCTAGTGGCTTCATTCAAGTGGCATTTCAAAATTCAACGTTCTATTTAATTAAAAGTTTCTATTTTCTGTCTCTGAAACTTTACATCCAGCAACTAGTAGTTGCTTTCATTAAGAGCTAATTTCTCCACACATATACAAACACAAGATTTTTATCACTTTAAGAGTTATTATATACACATCCATAAATTGCTAACAATTAAACAGAACTAAGATCCAGGCAGTATGTTAAGTTCACCTACTATCTCAGCGACTACTTCAGGCTCATTAGTATGATGGCTTAATTTAAAGTCACACCTCAGCAAAACTGCAAAACACTGTATGCCCTGGTGTTAGGGTTGCATTTATACAGTTGAAACCTTGAATGTCAAAATCTTTAAATGCCAAAGATCCATTGTGTGTTTATATACCATATGCTCAGCTCTATATAGATCTGTGCTCTCAGCAAGATTGAAAAAATTTTTTTTTAATATTTAACATAGTTAATATTGGGACTCTTCAATAAAGGCCTGTTCTTTATCTAAAGATGAAATGCACTTATGTGTAATCTGTCCAACAGGACTAGCTAAATAGTAACAATAGTAACTTCACAGGGATGTTGGAAGGGTTCAAGGACATAACACAGGTGAAGGAATAAATACTAAAGCACTATGTATAAGTTAGTGTCAATAGTAGGTGGTAAGGTTAATAATAAAAGAAATCTTCTCTCATTGGAAAGAATTAAGATACTTTGTTGGCTACTTAGAGAAATTAGTTAAACCAAGGAGTCACAGAGATAAATACATGTTGTAACCATTTTAATTTAAATCATATATAAATGTAATCAAGTCACCAACATTCTATGTATATAGCCAAGTCCTTGGGAGTTTTTTTGGCTGTTTTTTTTCCCCCCGACAGAGTTTTACTTTCTTGCCCTCAGTAGAATGCCGTTGCATCACAGTTCACAGCAACCTCCAACTCCTGGGCTTAGGCGATTCTCCTGCCTCAGTCTTCCAAGAAGGTGGGGCTATAGGCGTCTGCCACAACGCCTGCTATTTTTGTTGCAGGTTGGCCAGACCTGGGTTCAAACCCGCCACCCTCAGTATATGGGGCCGGCGTCCTACCCACTGAGCCACAGGCGCTACCCAGCCAAGTCCTTAGTTTTGAAATTGGACCTGAAGACTGGAATTCCATAGTCCTTCCTGCATGCACCACGTCCATAATGTTATTTATGGTTGCAGTTCCAGTTTTTAAGACATGCAGCAAAAACCTCAACATACATGAAATCATCAGGAGAGCAAATTTCTTACTATATTTTATCAGTTTTTCTCATATTTACATTTGTCTTGTTCATCACTAATTTGACAGTCAATTTCTGAAAGAACTCATTTGACTCACTTTTTCCCAGAGCATTTAACTTAGTTTTTATAGAAATAACTCCTCTTCTTACACTAATGAGTCATCATTTCACTAAACATGTAGTAACAAAAGTACCCAGCAAATGTAAGTTTAGGAACAAACGCAATTGACTCATAATGAGTAAACAATTTGACTTATGAGAGTTTTATAAGCATCATACCAGGAAGCTTCTCAGTCACAATGGCGTACGGGCTACATCACTCAGTATGTCTTACCAAGGCACTGGACAGCACTGGTTTACCCACCTGATTGGTTAAGTATTAAGTTAGTTCAGAGAGTCTGTGGGATTGTAATTCAGGTCTCAATCATAGCTACGAAGAAAGTTTAAAATAGTTGACCTGTCGCATATATATTTGCTATCTTTCATATTTTTTTATCAATCATATATATAGCTTATACATTTAGGGACATTGAAATTAAGAGTAAAAAAAAAAAAATTGAAGAATATTGAAATGAGGCAACAGAAAAGGAATTCAGATGTTTCCGGAGAACACGATAAAATAATCAGAGAATTTGACTCCTGACAACAGAAACTAAATGAGGAAGACATTTTAAGCAAATTACAATAGGACTAAAACAATTTTTTGGGGGGGGGTAGAGACAGAGTCTCACTTTATCACCCTTGGGAGAGTGCTGTGACCTCACAGCAACCTCCAACTCCTGGGCTTAGGTGATTCTCTTGCCTCAACCTCCCAAGTAGCTGGGACCACAGGCGCCCACCACAATGCTCGGCTATTTTTTCGTTGTAGTTTGGCCAGGGACAGGTTTGAACCAGCTACCCTCTGTATACGGGGCCAGCGCCCTACCCACTGAGCTACAGGCACCACCCTAAAACAAAATTTTTTTAAGTTGATGATTCATCTTTAAAACATCCCATAAATAGCACAAACTGTAAGTAAATGTCAGTGCCAGATACCATTAAACTTGTCAGTGTATGAAAACATTAAACACAGATTAACCATAGTCCTTTTACAATCATGAGGTTTTTGATGTGAGAACTTACTTATGTCACTGGAAACCTGGTTCAATTTATCCTGTGATCTGCTGATAAGAACCACCTTCATTCCACGCTTTGCTAACTGAAACAATAAAAAAGTTGAATCACATCTGTGTACATCACTTAAAGACATAAATTAGATAAGTCCCCATTTAAAAAAAAAAAATCCCAACTAGATGATAATTCAAATTAAAACAAAATAAGCCTGCCTGTAATCCTTGCACTCTGGGAGCCCAAGCGGGTAGATTGCCTGAGCTCACGGGTTCGAGATCAGCCTGAGCAAGAGTGAGACTCCATCTCTAAAAAAGAGCTGAGCATTGTGGCCGGTGCCTGTAGTCCCAGCTACTCGGGAGGCTGAGGCAAGAGAACCGCTTGAGCCCAAAAGTTTGAGGTTGCTGTGAGCTATGATGCCATGGCATTCTACCAAAGGTGATATAGTAAGACTGTCTCAAAACAATAAATAAATAAATAAGCCTGCATATAATGAATAGGCAATCCAAAATGAAGACTTTACCAGAGAGTTGTCTTTCACAATCAAGTTAAGTATTCAAATGTCAAAAGGTTTTATAAGAAATGAGACTTTTACTTTTACTTTTGTACCATCTACTGTTTGTGTTTTCTAAATTTGTTTTCTAAATTGTCTACTACTTCTATAATTTAAGAACCTCAAACTCTTGGGCTTAAGGGATCCTCTTGCCTCAGCCTCCCAAGTAACTGAGACTATAGGCGCCTGCCACAATGCCTTGGCTATTTTAAAAACAGTGTCTCACTCTTGCTCAGGCTGGTCTCGAACACCTAAGCTCAAACAATCCACCCACCTCAGCCTCCCAGAGTGCTAGGATTACAGCCACTGTGCCCAGCCTCTTGTATCTTCTGATAAGGTTAATTCAGATGGGCTTGGCACCTGTAGCACAGTGGCTACAGTGCCGGCCACATGCACTGAGGCTGGCAGGTTCGAGCCAGTCCGGACTAAATGAACAACAATGACAACAGCAACAAAAAAATAGCCAGGCGCCTATAGTCCCAGCTACTCAGGAGGCTGAGTCAAGAGAATTGCTTAAGCCCAAGAGTTTGAGGTTGCTGTGACCTGTGCCAACAGAGCACTCTACCAAGGGCAACATAGTGAGACTCTGCCTCAAAAAAAAAAATTAATTCAGATGGACAAAATATCACCTGTGTAGCATCCCCGATTAAGAATGTTTATGTTGGATCTAATTCTGAAGAAACTATCAGACCAATGCAAATTTCTCAGCAAAACAACTACAGAACAATCTGGTTTGGATTTTTCAAAAATGGCATTGTTATAAAAGGGAAAAGAAGGCTAAGGAACTCTTCTAGATTAATGGAATCTAAGAGACACAACACCAAATGCAATACACATCCCTTAACTCAATCTTAGAACCAAACAAGGCGTTATAAAGGCTATTATCTGGACAACTGGGAAATTTGTTTTAGTTCTTAGATTTATCCTGAAATTTTTCAGTGAAATGTTATGATGTCTCTAACTTACAAATGCACCAGCCAAATAATAATTCTAATAATAAATTAAATGTGGCAGAATTAACAATTGGTGAATCCAGGTGAAGAGCATATGGGTGTTCATTGTCTTCTTGCAACTTTTGCATAGTTTTGATAGTCAACAAAATAAAAAGATGGAAAAACAAAGAACAATTCAATTTTTTAAAAAAAAAAGACACTTTGGGAATGATAAATGTGAGTCAATGGATCTGCCAGGACCTTCAGAACCAGGCAATCCACAGGCCGTAGGCGCCTTCTCAGGGACTGGAAGGCAGGAAACTTGCTTGAAGAGTAGCACCAGGGCTCTTGCTTTGTACAACGTCTTCAAACTATTACGCTTCCCTGTCCTTTAACTGCATTACAGAGGACTTCGATCTTTTGCCTATGAATGTCAACATCTTTCTATTAATCATAATCACTCTTGTGAAAAAGATGCCATGGACTAGCCTAGAAATATAACCAACTATGATAATATTTCTATTTTTTTAATATTTCTTTTTTTGAAAAATAGAAAAAGCACTTTTTCTATTTTGAAAAGTAGTTCATAATAATGGATTTAAACTGAGAGCTGATCACAGTTCCATAACATAACATAAAACCACACTAAATCCTAATTTCAACCAACCACCACAGAAAGTTTAATAGTTAACTTTGCACAGAAATTTGCCCTAAGTATTTTTATTTATTGAAGCAAACATGGTATTACTGACAGGGTAGAAACAAAGAGCGTTTATTGTACTATACAACATCATATTTGTGTTTTTTTTTTTTGAGACAGAGCCTCAAGCTGTCCCCCTGGG